CCAGAGCTGTTCAAAAAGATAAACAAATTCCGAAATCGTGAAAATTTGGATTTTTCGACTCTAATGGGTTCTCTGACGTTAGGAAAATTCAGAGCCTCCCAAAACCTCAAAAACGTTAAAATGACCATTTCCCAGATTTTTTTTTCCATGCCTTAGGTTCCTCGCGAGTGCTTGTATTCATTTTCGCAAGTAAATCGCGGGAAGTACTTATGCTCAGAATTTGTTGGGATCGATAGGAGTAGTTCTTGGCAGTGAACAAAATTAAAGTCCTTAAAAACGTTAAAATCTTCCTTTTCACCATTTTTATGATTTTTTTTTCTGTGGCTCAAGGTTCTGGCAGGAGTTTGAGTTAATTTGTGGGCGTACCCTGGGGATAGTACTTGAGCTCGGAATGTTTTTAAACCGATAGGAGTTGGCCTTGACGGCTAAGAAAATTCATAGCCTGCCAGAACCTCGAAAGCGTTAAAATGGTCATTTTCAGAATTTGTTTATTTTTTATTAACAGCTCTGGTTTTTGTAAAAAACATTGCCGCAACCAAAACTAAACATGGCACAAACGTCTACATCATAAAACCATTGGCGCAAATTGTCTCGGTATCAATACGCAAACATAAAACTACGTGTTTCATTTTTCGTCACGCTCCCAATTTTGAACACGCAAACTTCGTATCGTGACGTGAAAAAGTTTCGCTTCAAACATGCGACTCGCTTTCCGAATCGCTTCTTTCATACCGCGCGAACTTAGGAGTACGTATTACAGTGCGATAATGAGTTTCACTTTAAAAGATTGGAGGGTTCGATTCTTTGGACGGAACCGTAATGCTAACGTGATCATAGAATTACCGCACGTCCGATTTTGGTTACATTCTTTCAAGAAAAGAAAGGCACAGACCGTAACTACGCTTAAATATAAATAAAACGAATTGAATACGGAACCGTAATTAACACTAGGTTTACGGGCGTTTTTTACATACCTGCTTCTACGAGCACCCGTAAAATTGACGGGTAAACGAAAACACGGATTTTCTTTAAAAAATCGATTAATTCAAATTAAGTCTGTATTAAACAACACTAGGCTTTACGTTTAAATAAATTATTAATAAGTAAAAAGTCCTTTTTTAAAAATGATCACGGAAATGATTGGAATGCTCGTCCTCTCATCCTCTCATCCTCGGAGTCAGAACTAGAAAGAATGCGCATCCTTTTCTTGCTACGACACCCTTTCAAGAAGTTTTCCTCTTCCCTATCCGAAGATCCTTCTATCTCTCCACTTTCAATGCAAACTTTCACTCTCATCTTCGCCTTACACTCCCTGCAACGAAGCAAATATATATGGATTGTTTATGAAATTAGCTAGTCCGTCAATTTGACGGGTTTCGTAGAGATAGGTATACTACATACAGATTTTAATAATTAGAAGGCTTAGGAAAAAATAATTGCGTGTACAAATTCTTTGGATGAAATGATTAATTTACGATACAAAAATGGTTAAAATTAATGCTACGGTTTTTTCGGTATTTCTTTTTGAAGTTTGAATTCCGTCAAATTGACGGGTCCCGTAAACCTAGTGTTACCATTTCGACCGACGCAAATGTTCCGGACCCCGTCACTCGGTCCATGTATTCCTCGCGTCGAGGAAGCGATGCATCAGAGAGTTGGCAGAAGGCCCGGCGCTAAGCACTCCGCGACACCGCATGGCGTCTAATCCGACTAAATGCAACCCCTGTTTACGGGGATCCCCTTTGTCGGCGGTTTTGCGAAGCACGGGGCTGCCGGAAGTCCGAGTCCCGGGTACGAGCGCTCTTTTAGAGCCGGGGGCGGAATCTTTGGGCGATCTGGACGGTCGATTCGCAAATATTAACCCTAGGCGATTATGCGGACCTGGCCATTGGCTGGACCAGCTAGGACGAGCCGGATTATACGACTCTTCGGGGTCTCCTCTCTCTCCCTCTTGCGATTACCGCTTCCGGTCGAGGGATTCGGTCCGGCTCGATATTTGCTCGGCGCTCCGTCGGGCCGCGAGTAAACGAGGGCTAATGCTCGCCAGCGATTCCGCACGCGATTCCGCTCGCGATTGGAATCGCGACCGGTGCTAGGTAATCGCTCGGGGAGCACTTCGAGATCCGAGGAACTCCGAGGGAACTCCCGAGGAACTCGGGGGCCAACTCCGAGGGGACTCTCTGGTAACGACGTGATTCTCTTTCGGGATAGCTTCCGGTATGCCGAGTATCCCGATAGGGCCGTTGATAGGACTTTCCTGGGGAACTTCGGATGTCGATGGCTTCGGTCAGCACGGTCGAAAAAGTCTTGGGGGATGGGGAGGATTTCCGCTCCCCTCGTCCTGCGGGACGTCCCCTAAATTCCTAGCTGGACCATGGAGACCCTGGGAACTTCACGGAATCTTTCTATTTTTTATCCGATCGTTTCGCCAAAGGTGCGCTTTATCAAAAGCTACGCCAGGGTATTTCCGCACAAAAGGGTTTTCATTGCACCTTCCCGCGTCCCATTATGTCGTGCAGCTCTTGTGCAGCCTGCTTTTTGCAGGGGGGGGACATTATACCTGGTCATTTTGCCAATAGTCGATGCAAATCGCGACTAACTATCGAAGCACTCGGCCCTCCCCTTGCCCCTGCGTGCGATTTAATACGATGGAATTGAAATTGCACTTCGGCGTTCACCCCGAAGCTATTGCACGTCACTCGTGGAACGAACGCCACAATTGGTCACGACACGCAGATCGGCGATTTCGCGAGATTCGGATAGAAGGGACGAGGATCCTTCTTTTTTATTAGTAGTTCATAGAAAAAGAGATCGGTCGGGCTTTATTATTTTTACCTTTATTTTTGTTTTGTCTTCTTTTTTTTTTAATGACGCGACCAGAGCCTGACAAAGGTATCGCGTCGTTGGAGTTTCTCGAGAGCCGTAAATATCGGGGAAGCAATAATCGTAAAACACGAGATCCTGCAATATTGGCAGGACCGTAGTCCGCCTCTATACCAGCCAATGCTATTTTCCTACGGTGGCTGGAGAAAATTCGAAATGCTAATGAACCCATGAGCCGCGTCGTTGGGATGCCTCCGTTATTTGCGCGCGGAGAAAACACTTGTCTGGAATTCGCGAGGCGCGTTATTAAAAAATTACTGGCCGAGCTTGGAGTCCAAGGGGACCTGCAAAATAAATCCCCTGGGCATTTTTGGGATTTATTCAACGTTTTGATAACGCGGTATTAAAAAATTACTGGCCGAGCTTGAAGTCCAAGAGAAAGGATAGATAATCGAGCGAATTTTTGGGATTCATTCGACATTTTAATTATGGCCCATCGCGTGAGTTCTGTCGAATTTCAATTTAAGGAGGGTAAAATTGAAAATCATCATTTTCGGAATGTATTTCCAGCTCTTGTACGTTGTGGAGGCGAAAATGGATGGAAAGCCGAATTCGATGCACGGAGGATCTCCGCGGAATATTTTTCGTACCGTGTCCGGCGAACCGGTCAATCGATGGTCATTGCTTTTTCCGCACACCGAGCAGATTTATAGAATCGCTCCAGTTTTCTCCCCTCCTTTTATTGCCCGCTTTTTTATTTTTCACTCCGATCGAACCGCCAATCGAAGGCAACTCTTTTCCGCCCCCGCCCTTCCCGGCGGTGCGTCAAGCCGGCCGCGTAATCCACTTCATGCAAATGCAGAATTAATGCGCTCGCATCGCGATGACGCTTCCCGCGAAATTCAGACGGAATGCAAATTTATGCGATTGGGATTTACGGGAGAATCGGAAATCACCGGACACTCCGGCTTGGACGTTCTGCTTTCCGTCGTTTCGGGTGCGAATTGCTCCGTCCACGCCATAGAGATTTCGGACAAAGACGCTTTTATGGCGAAACGATTCGTCGATAATCCACCGAAACTCTTACTAACGTAAGCAATCAATGACTTCCCACGTTATTACCCTAACACCCCAACAAAACACATTACACTTTATCCAGTTGCCACTTATTGATAACCATCATTTTAAATGATTTCAATCCTACTGGACACATTTCCAACGTTTCCCAGGGGTTTAAAAATTCCTAACGTTAACCGTTTGAGTTGTCTTTGTTGTTTTTCCGTCCAAAAGTGCCAAGGAGCGCTTTTTCGCTTGTCTTATTCCCTCTCCAAAAGTGCCAAGCGGCGCGATAGCGCTTGTCTTATTCCCCGATTAAAAATGCCAAGGAGCGCTATTGCGCCGTTTTCTGCTCTATACGGTAAGCGGTAATGTTCGACTGAAATTAACACTTTGCCGTCCGCACGATTCGTAAATATTTATTCGCTTGGCGCCGGCAGCGCTAATTCGGATCACTTGACTTGTCGCCGGCTGTTTTTGACGTTATCGAGCCCACTGTGGTGTCGCCGGCCGTTGGCCAAAAGTTTGCGCACATCACCACTGTGGTGTCACCGGCCGTTGACCGCTAGTTTGCGCACGTCACCACTGTGGTGTCGCCGGACGGCATAGTATTAAAATTCGTTCTTTTATCAGCTGTCTCATTCTTTTACTTTTACCTAAAATGGAATGGTAACCGTAAAGTCGCGCATTGACGGAAACCGAGCGTGTCGCGGTTATCGGCTTCGCAGCCTAGAACGCTGGCGCTGTTCGAGCGACACAGAAGAAGCGCAAAATCGCTCCTTGGCACTCAAACGGTTAATAATCCGAGATACTATGCGGTGGACAATTTTTATCTAGGTTTTAAGCGTAATCACGCATTTTATTGCGGCTAATGAACATCGGGTTGCTCCCTTTGTCTTGTTCCAGATGGCCAGACGGTACCGACCCTGTGCGAATTGTCGGCACGCTGTGTCGCTTCTCACATCCCATTCGAGCTGGTGGAGCACGTATATCCACCGGTACCGGAACAGCTTCAGCTTAGGATAGCTTTCTGGAGCTTCCCGGATAACGAGGAAGATATCCGGTTGTACTCCTGCCTGGCCAATGGCAGCGCCGACGAATTCCAGCGCGGCGAGCACCTCTTCCGATCCAGGAGCGTCAAGGATCCCCTTCAGATCGGTGAGCACTTCTTCGGCATCGAGCCAGACTTCGAACCCCTAGTCTGAAATGTGAGCATGAGATTTCTCCAGCCGGAAAAACGCGACTCGATAAAATAATTCCAAACCACGGGATCTAATCAACGCACTTCGCATTGCGAATGCCCAAAGCGACCTGTCGACCCTGTTCGTGGAGTCGCGAACGCCAACGGAGAGAGCGGGGTGCCGGAGGCGAAATGAGTAACCGTGACAATAAATTTTATTAACAAATCGAACTTAATAATCGAACAATAACAGTCGGACATGTCACTACGAATAAGAATGATACAATTCTTTGACTTCACGCGGTGCCGATGTAAGGTCGTGATACGAGGTGGAGCGGTGAGAACTTTGGCGTCCTCATAAAGTGGAGTGGTCGAGATCGGTGATCTCTGCGGACCGGAGAAAAGATTATTCTCGCGGGAGATATTGGTAGGATCTATTTGTCTCGATGGAAAATGGTGCAGAGGAGCCTGAGGACGCTGTCCTCGAGGGCGGAATTTTTAGAAGGAGCAACGCTGATAGATTTAACCCTTTCGTTACCTTGGACGAGATATCTCGCGACCCGATACTGGCCGATCAACGCTTTTGACGAGATATCTCGCGATCCGGTAGTAGCGGATTAACGCTTTTCACGATAATCCAGCTTTCTAGCACCAATATTTTGACGTTCTAGACAAATTATTTTGTGTTCTGCCACGTAGAAAGTAAATAAAAATAATTTCATTAAATTAATAAAAACTGTATTTATTTCTTCTTTTTAGCTATACGAATAGAATTAGTTATAAAATATATTCATCTAGAATGTCAAAATATTGGTGCTAGAAAGCTAGATTATCGTCAAAAGCGTTAATCGGCCAGTATTGGGTCGCGAGATATCTCGTCCAAGGTAACGAAAGGGTTAAGGAAAGCGGGGTTGCATTTAATAATTGAAGGCGATTGGAGGTAGGACTTTTGGGAAAGGGAAAATTATGCACTTTAGGCGGCGTAGGTCGGGAAAGCAAAAATGGGCTACAGGACGAGGAGTGCTAGAAAAGGAACATCTCAAGGGCTAAAGAACCGCGGTGATAGAGAAGTACTCGATGGTGCGAGGCGATATTTTAGAGTCTAGGGTTTAACTTATGAGTTTCAAGAGCGAGATGTACGTGAAGAGGAGAATGCGAAGAGAGTCACGGGATAATGCTAAACAAGTGAGAATTGACCGAAAGCAGACACGGATTCGAAAGCGAGAAATACCCAGATCACTGGGAAAGAATACCCTGGGGAGGGTTCGAGGGTCGCCTCTTACCCTTACCGGACGACCAGGGGCCAAGATGTCCGAAGCGTCGTCCGGTCCGCTCGAGTGTCTCGGTGACTCGATGTGGTTCTATCGATCGTTAATTTATCTTAACATATTTATCTTAAGGTGAAGTGAAACACCCTTCAAATCAGTCGATTCGAATACAACACTTTTTTTTAAGGGTATTAGACCAAACCGTCCGAAACTTTGACACATCACTCCTGATCATCTAAGAATTGTCCTGACACATTCAAAATTTGGATTTTTGAAAAGAATTTTTTAACTCAGCCCAGACCAGAACCAAAATGGCATCGAGCTCTCATATTTCGATCGACATGCAATTATCGAAGGCTCCGATATGAGAAGCGAAAGGGTCAGGACAATTTTACGACAATTTAGAACACTCTGGTAGTCGCTAAACTCGCATTTGAACGGGATAAAGGCAAAAAAAGTGTTGTATGCGCTTCTATGCTAAAACGATGGGAATACGAGGTCTCGGAGTGAAAATTTAATTGACCTGGAAATCACAGATGGCGCAAGGGGTCCCTCCACGGTCAATTGGGGCCCCAGAAAGCATGAATCCAGATTTCTAGAGTTTTACTTCGATTTCTTGATAATTATTGTACGAAAACGACAAGTGGAGTACGCCATTTGGTACAATACCCAATATAATTCGATACAGCTGTCAATATAAAAACGAACGTCGGCAACGTAGGCATTTAGAAAAATTTTCTTTATCGACGTTGATCAAGTTCCTCGACGTGTTTCACTTCACCTTAACACGACCTTACATCATTTATGGACGATTTTAATTTTTTCCTATTTTTCTTTCCCTCGTAAGTACGTTTTCGTCGCTACTTTATGGTCGGCACTCTGTGCGGTGTCTAATTATCGCGCAAATTGGCTCGGCGAAGCAGCCGAGGCAGCTTAAAAAGCCCGTCTGCGGATTTTAAACTCGGCTCCTGTGCCAAAGAAAAGCCGAGCTCGCGGTCCCGGTTTGTGGTCCACGAATTATTGGATGCAGGGGGGAAAGGCTGGGTTGCGGGAACCTTGTTTCGAATTCTGTTATGATCTTCAATTCCTCTTGTTATGCCCCGTCCCTGCCTTTCCCTCCCATGGGAGTCCTTGCGCCGCCGGGTATTCTCCCCATCCTGGAATAAGACTCGAAACACGGGTGCGGGGTCGACTTCGTGGATATTATGCATTTTGGAATCGGGCCATGCCATGGGATCGCATTCGGTTATTCAGGAGTTCGATTTACATCCGACGTATCTTTCGAGCGAAATTCCCTTTTCGGAGGAGGTCGATCGCCAAGCGTTTTTCCCCTCTTCCTGTGCACCCTTCCGGTCGTTTACATTATTCCTTCCTGAAACGCCGATTTTTAAGTAAATGAAAATACAGGAAAATTCATGAGCATGGTAAAAATGCTCCGTGTCATCGCGGCTTGCCAGATAATTATAATAAATGAACGAGGATACGTGACAATTTATAGGAAAAATAGACATTTGCTCTCTAGCGAAGAACGGCATTGTTGATAAAGTTGCGCTCGTCTTGCGGTAATAATTTCACTGACAGCAGAAATGTTTGCATTCGCGTCGAACGTCGATATAACCACAGGGGAGGTTCTTTTAAAAAGACATGCTTGCTAAATTAATAAATAAATTTGTAACAGCAGTCGGAAAAAAATACCGTTGTTACGATACGACCAAAAGAGCGATCCACAGTTTGTTATCGCTGGTAAAGAATATTGTTGCAATGAGTATAATTTGTGTCGCTTCAGTTTTGTTGCTCTTTATGCTATGCTACGTTTCAACAAAGGAATTTTGCTGGTCCAGTTTCGTATTTACATTTGTCGAAGCAAATGAAATTTGGATTATGGCCGTCAATTGTTGTTTTGAGCGATCCACAATTTGTTATCGCTGGTAAAGAATATTGTTGCTATGAGTATAATTTGTGTCGCTCCAGTTTTGTTGCTCTCTATGCTATGCTACGTTTCAACAAAGGAATTTTGCTGGTCCAGTTTCGTATTTACATTTGTCGAAGCAAATAAAATTTGGATTATGACGGTCAATTGTTTTTTTGAGCGTATTATGGTAAGACTCGACGTAGTCGCGGGGTTTGTCAGCAAATTGTCGGTAATTTCCTCGGTGTCGGAATGAAATACAGTCACGTATAATCGATGTATTCCAAGTTGCATCGGAGGAACGGGGCAGCCTGCTCGATCCCTCTTCGGGGCTCGCTTTATCAGAAGAAATTCCTGGTGCTCCAGGAAATATAGGAGCGCGGTGAGGTTAGGTTTTCAATTACGGGAGCCCCTTCGTCTCCTTTGGCTTTTTCATAAAAGGGAAAGGGACGGCGAGAGAGAATGACAGGGAAGAGAGCTTTCAGCCTGAAAGCTCCAAGTCTACGGGGTGCTTCGAGAATACCACAATGCCTGGTGCCCTGTGCACGACCCTGCTCATCCTCTTTCCAGGATCCAGAGTCCTTCTTCTTTACGTGGATACGGCCTGGTCTCCCAAAGCCCTTAAACAGTCGAAGGAACTATTTGAAATCGCGTCCACCACTTGACGATCAAAGATTCGTCCGAGGAACGTTTAAAAAGAGGTATCCGAAAACCGGGATCGCCTCGGCCATAAATACGCTTTTTACCCGATATCGAAACCGCCATTTAAGGTGAAGTGAAACACGCTGAGGAACTTGATCGACGTCGATAAGTAAGATTTTTCTAAATGCCTACGTTGCCGACGTTCGTTTTTATATTGACAGCTGTGTCGAATTATATTGGGTATTGTACCAAATGGCATACTCCCCCTGTCGTTTTCGTACAATAATTATAAAGAAAGCGAAGTAAAACTCCAGAAATCCTCTGAATGTGCTCTCTGGGGCCCTAATTGACTGCGGAGGGACCCTCTGCGCCATCTGTGATTTCCAGGTCAATTAAATTTTCACTCCGAGACCTCGTATTCCCATCGTTTTGGCATAGAAGCGCATACAACACTTTTTTTCCTTTATCCCGTTCAAATGCGAGTTTATCGATTACCAGAGTGTTCTAAATTGTCGTAAAATTGTCCTGACCCTTTCGATTCTCATATCGCAGCCTTCGATAATTGTATATTGATCGAAATATGAGAGCTCGACGCCATTTTGGATCTGGTCTGGACCGAGATAAAAAATTTTTTTGAAAAATCCAAATTTTGAATGTGTCAGGACAATTCTTAGATGATCTGGAGTGATGTATCAAAGTTTCGGACAGTTTGGTCTAATACCCTTAAAAAAAAGTGTTATATTCGATTCGACTGATTTGAAGGGGGTTTCACTTCACCTTAAGGGGGCTATTAAGTCGGAACTGTTTTTTAAATTAAAACGAGTTTAATACAGAAAAGGTACAGGGAATATTTATTTACGGGGGTATTTTATTTCGTATTTTCATGAGAACCTAATTATACGATAAAATATGGCCGTTAGGAAATCACCATTATCAATTTTAACAAGAATTACCCGGTCGATGGTTATCCTGAAAACTGTTAATCGATACCGTCCCGACGAATTTTTACGACGAGATACAGGGATAGTCGTTAGCATATCGCCCAGATTATAAGGAATTGATTCCGTGTTCCGTGATTGTCCAACATAAAACAGGTCTGGTAACGACCCTGCTTCCATATCGCTTGAAACTGGTACAACTGCAGTCGCGAAGTTGGACTTGCCCGGTTACGCCAGACTTCCTTAGATATACCGACTCCGATGGTCGGTACTTACCCGAAGTTGCGGAGAATTAGTTAAACTGGTCTTCTGGGTCTTCCGGCTTCTCGTTAAGGTGGTATCTGCCTTGAGGAGAACTCGATATAGGCAGACCTTGAAGAGGTTGAAGCATAAGATCCATTTCTTCGCTTTCCGAAGTCGAACAAATTGGTCTCCTCCACCTCTTCCGTATTTTCCGGAGGACAGGGAAATCGCGTACACGCCGAACCGTCTTTCGAGGTGCTTTACGATGCACCGAGAAAAATTAGAGCCGAGGTTTTCTGTATGTGTGTACAGTAGGCACCACCACATCAGAAAAATGATATGAATCCTATTGGAGAATTAGGTGCTTATTAGGTGCTATTTTAGTGCGACAACCCCAATTTTAGTGCTCCACCCCATACCCCAAAAATCGGTGGTGGTGCTGAGTGGACGTACACTCAGCACCACCACAGAGTATATTTCCTTACAGAAGGGGTTAACAAAAAAAATGCAGTGCCGGAATTAAGTGCTATTTAAGTGCTCCAGAAATATCTCACGGGTGAGTCCGAAATGCCACCCTTTTCACCCAAATCTACCCCCGAGCATATTTCCCTCAATAGAGAACTGGTAGAAATAATACAACTACATAGACCATTTCCGTGGAATAATTAGGTGCTATTTAAGTACTTGGTTCCATCATATATCTGGAGCACTTAAATAGCACCTAATTATTCCACGAAAAAGGTCTATGTAGTTGCATTATTTCTACCACTTCTCTATTGAGGGAAATATGCTCGGGGGTAGTTTTTGGGTGAGAGGGGTGGCATTTCGGGCTCGCCCGTGAGATATTTCTGGAGCACTTAAATAGCACTTAATTCCGGCACTGCTTTTTTTTTTTTGTTAACCCCTTCTGTAAGGAAATATACTCTGTGGCAGTGCTGAGTGTACGTCCACTCAGCACCACCACCGATTTTTGGGGTATGGGGTGGAGCACTAAAATTGGGGTTGTAGCACTAAAATAGCACCTAATAAGCACCTAATTCTCCAATAGGATTCATATAATTTTTCTGATGTGGTGGTGCCTACTGTACACATATGTTTTCTGTCGCTTCTCGTAGACGAAGAAACCTCGCTCGGAGCCGTACGTTCGTTTTTTGTCCAGGACTCGGTGCTTCTCGAGTTCCTCCGCGGACATTAATTCAGCTCCTTCGGGATAACGACGTCTCGGATGTACGAGCTCGCAGGAACGATTCCCGCGTAAATCGAGGAAGCCTCGTTACCCGCATTTCTGTATATCAGGATCTTCGACTCGTCCCGTGGGAATACAGATATCCCGACGTGCCCACATCCCCCATTGTCGAGGTCCTCGAGATGCCTGGCCCGGTCTTGACAAGATAAAGGTTCTTCAGGAATTTAATGAACCCGTCCCGAATATATGACGTTCCGGCGACACTCCGGGATATTGCCCGCGATCCTTCCTGGCGTCTTCCTTCTTCTCGGTATTCCCGTTTCGGGGCTTCGAGCGATCCTTTTCCTCCCATTCGACTCCAACCCTCGAGGTACTTCGTCCTCGTCCTTGATTCAAACTCCCTGTAAAATATGATTTGATCGGTACAATTTACGAAAGAAGTAAGAGTATATTAAGATTAATCCCTTGACCAGGGAACTTGCTTACTGAAAATGTGCTCTGCTCGTGTCGGAGGCGCAATCGGGGTAATTCGAGTTAATTTGTCCTGCCCGATAGATCAGGGTTAACCCTTTCGTTACCTTGGACGAGATATCTCGCGACCCAATACTGGCCGATTAACGCTTTTGACGAGATATCTCGCGACCCGATACCGACAGTTTGGTCTAATACCCTTAAAAAAAAGTGTNTTATAAAATATATTCATCTAGAATGTCAAAATATTGGTGCTAGGACGCTAGATTATCGTCAAAAGCGTTAATCCGCTACTACCGGATCGCGAGATATCTCGTCAAAAGCGTTAATCGGCCAGTATTGGGTCGCGAGATATCTCGTCCAAGGTAACGAAAGGGTTAAACTCGCGATCGAGATTTATTAACAAGCCGAAGATCATGGATGTACATAGGCAAGGCACGAGAGATGCGGATATAATTGGCATCAACCCCTGCGAGAGGGTTGCAAGGGAATGGTATGACCGAGTAAATGGAATAATTGTCCTAGGTAATAATGGTAAAAAGGTGGAGTAAAAAAAATATTCTAGAGAAAGGACTAGAGGAAAGAATTAATTCGGCATGGAAATAAGCCTCCGTCGAGTTAAATTCCATTTAAAGGATGTTACCCGAAGCTACGGAATTCAGGAGAGTCCTGGAGGACCCGGAGGGCGGTTTTTCAGGACTTCAATTAACGCGTCCCGATTACGCGGCGGTCCCGGCGACACTTCCTTCGTCCCGCAGGATCTTACTCGGGATCCCGTGTCTTTCTTCCCGCCGATAATTAATTCCGTTCCCCTGGAAACTTGAAAATTCTCCCCCCTCGGCACCCGACCTCTTCTGGTCCTGACTCGGCTCTCCTCCAAAGGATTCCCCGGGGAGTTCCTCGAGCTATTGCCCTTTCTCCGGACTCCCTCTCGTCCTCCTTCCTCCTAGCTCTCGTCCTTCCATTTCTCCGCCTTTTCGTGCCATCCGCTCGTGAAACGAAGTTTTAATCAATGGAGAGAAAGAACGAGGACTCGGACGTCCTCGTCGGGCTGGCACGCACGTTCGTTAACGCGCCTTTGACGACGAAGCGGAACGCCGAGCCTTCGCCGAGAACCGAGGTCCTTTGAGAGCTATTCTCGTCCTGGGGATCCTCCCAGTCAAAGTCGACCTGGTCCGCTGGAAGCATTGACATACTTCGGGAGACCCTGGAGTCCGATGTGCCTCGCGCCGAAAAAATAATCGGCCGAAACGTGCCCGAGAAAAATGATTATCGCAGACACTTTTCACCTCCCACCTGGCACTTAGAAACGAGAGATGCGAAAAGACGTAGAAATGTCACAGAAATGTCATTTTAGAGGTTTTAACAAAATTATGGACGGCTTATTTTCAAGCTTAAATTATTTAATGTCGAAGAAAGTGGTCGCGAGATGTGTGTACCCTTCTGACGAGATACAGCGGAGGTCCTCTTCTTGAACTTCAGGTTTTCACCTGAGTGCCAGCGTCAACGCGCTGCTGATGCCCACTTCCAACGGTGTGAAGGCGCAGTTCAACGTGGCCGTCACTTTTGACAGAAGGAGGATCACATCTTGCAACTGCACTTGCTCCTCCACCGCGTATTGGTGCTCGCACGTCGTCGCGGTTTGCTTGCACAGGATACACATGGTGAGTTGGGCGATCCCGAGTTAGAGGAGGTCCTTTAAATTATGGCAAATATTATGGTCGTTGAATATGTTTTCCGCGTTTCTTCTTTCAGCCAACACAAGTATGCCTGAGAGCACCCGTGAGCGAATCCCTGTCGCGGCTGCACCGAGAACAACTGCAGAAATTCGCTCAGTATCTGATCAGCGAGTTGCCCCAACAGATTCTGCCCACAGCCCAGCGGCTCTTGGACGAGCTCCTTTCGGCTCAGCCAAGTGCCATCAACAGCTACTGCGGAGCTCCGGACCCTACGGCAGGTGCCTCTGCTCACGACCAAACATCCTGGTACTTGGACGAGAAGACTCTGCACGGCAACATCAAGAAGATCCTCATCAAGTTCTGCGTCCCAGCGCCGATGGTCTTCAGGTGAGCGGAAGACACCTGAAAGTCCTCCAAATATTGAAGGACATGTCTCAGGATCGAACAAGGGGCTACTTCCTCAAAAATCAAGAAAAACGATTTTCCTCTCCGAGAACCGATTGCCATTCTTATCATACGACAAACAACAGCGTAATTCATCAATTAAGTGACGTTCGGCGATAACGTTATCTTGGTAAACGATTCTTAACGAGTTTGATCGTCGTCACTAATTTATAAAAATGTCAAGATGGGGCATTGTATGATAACACTGGCAATGATTTCCAGCATTAAAGCTCAGGATTTCGTGGGTGAGTAACCCCTTGTACGAGTAGGTTCATGGTAGGGCGACGTAACGCCGGAGCATTTCCAAGGGACGTTTCCAAAACGCGGTGTAATAGCTCTGGGTAGCTTTTGTTCGTGTCGTACATAAAGTGTGACTTATTTGTCCCATGTTGGATCCGCAGCGACGTGAACTGTCTGAGCACGACGGCGCCTCCAGCTGCAGCGGAATGGTCCTCTTTGCTGAGGCCTCTGAGGGGTCGAGAGCCGGAGGGGATGTGGAACCTGCTGTCCATCGTGCGAGAGATGTTCAAGAGGACCGACAGAAACGCCATCCCTCTGCTGGAGATCATCACCGAGGAGTGCATGGCCTGCGAGCAGATCTTGATCTGGTGGTTCAACACGAAGGTCGCTCTGTTGAACGGTACCGGTCACGGTGGCGGCAAACACGGGAACATGAACAGCAATGCCCACGCATCGCAACACGCTTGTTCGTCCCTTTGCGACGAGATCGTCGTTTTGTGGAGGTTGGCAGCCCTGAATCCCGGGTTGTCTCCATCGGAGAGAGAGATGCTCCACGGACAGTTCACCGCCTGGCATATGAAGATAACCGACAAGGTCCGTAGGTTTTGACGATATTTCTGCAGGGGAAGTCAGATCTTCGTTGGCTTCGCAGGTCGAGGTGTGTCCATTGATGTTCAATCCGTGATATGATCGACAGGTATCCAAGAGTCGCGGCAGCTCGGTGTCCCACAACTCGCACAATCGCAACAACGGTAGCAGCCAGAATTCCCTGAAAACGGATCTGGAGGTGTTCACCGGGTTCAAGCCAGCCCTCGAGGCTTGTTACCTCGATTGGGAGGAGTACACGTTACCTGGGATCACCTACACCGCGAGCAGCAATCCCATGTACTACTGTCCATTCACGTGCTTCAGGCACGCAGGGGATGCCAGGACGGAGGTCAATCAGGTGAGCTGTTCACCGTTTCGGACTTAAATCCGAATTCTGTACTAATTTCAAAGTTACCGTTACAGTCTTACAAGTATTCGGATGCGTGTTAACTCGGTATAATCCCCCCAGGTGAACTCGAGCCCGGCGGTGTTAAATTGCCAGCCACCGACGTCCCATCACCACGGAAGACGTCCGCTAAGTCTGGGATTAGCCGAATTTAGTTACATGGATCGGCGGAGGCTGAACCGCCGAGAATTCCCAGGACTCTGCGCGAGGAGCGGAGGTGACGGGAATCGCAGCAGCATCAGCTCCGAGGGATTCTGCGAGAACGACGTCGACATGCCGGACATCCCGGAGCCTCAGATGCTGTTGGTCAGACGAGTGTGCGGTCAGCTGAGCAACTGCGGTGACACCGACTCTCAGGTTGGGATCCACGTCCACGATTCCTGCCGACATAGAATTCTAGCTCCATGCCTTACATTTAACATTTACCCGTAAATTATTAAACGCTTTCAGGAGGGCGGTGGGAGCGAGTCGTCGTCCCACAGCAATGGCAGCTTGAAGAACGTTCAAGCAGCGGAGAAGCATCGATCCAACGCCTCGTCCGAGTCTCACAGCGATAGTAGCGAAAGTAGCAATAACAAGGCTGTCGAGTCCAAGAGAAGGGCGAGCATGGTGGAGTATCGCGACCCTGGGGTCAGCACTTCGCGATCGGTACTGACCAAGACCAGCGCCAAGAGCAAGAACGAGTCCGACCAAGAGAAGGACCCCTCCAGGAGGCTCTCGAAGGACGAGAGCTCGTCCTCCAGCAGCGACAGTCCATCCGGGGACGAGTACAACGTGTACTACTACGACCCGAAAGCTGCCGTGGGAGCAGAAAACAGCGGAAACAAGGACGCGAAAGGCGAGAGTCTGGGAGCTGCTGCCACTGCAAATGCTAGCGCCGTTTTAGGAAATCTCAAAAAGGCCGAAGATCCTTGGGATATCCTGTTCGCGAGGGCCGAAGGACTCTACGCGCACGGACACACCAGAGAGGCCTGCATCCTTGGGATCCAACTCGCCGAAGAGCTTCTCGCCAACCCTCCGGATCTGATGATCGAAGTGCCTCCTATGCCGGCGAAGGGAAAAAGAAAAAAGGTGCGGCGTCTGTCAGGTTTTTAAGTAGTCTCTGGATCCTGAATTTGGAAATGGTGAAGACTGATAGTACTTTATGCTTCGTGGCGTGTTCATAGAAATATGAAAATGTATTTGAGCCCTACCTCTGCATCTATCATGCGAAAGTAATTGCGATGTTATCTGGTAATATGTTTTCAGCAACAAGTGAATCCGGCCTCTCACCAGCTTACGTGTTTGGCTTCGGCTACTTTAGCTAAATGCGGATTTCTCTGCACGGTTCTGGCAGAAAATCCGGAACATCATAATTTAGCGTTCCGAGTTGGACTTTTCGGTCTCGAGATGGCGAGACCGCCGGCTAGCACGAAGCCTTTGGAGGTGCGTTGCTGGTCACTTATCCAATCATACGCACGTTGAACAATTTGCGGAGTTATAAGCCGCTGTTACTCTACGTGTTAATTTTTTAACAGGTTAAATTAGCGCATCAAGAGAGCGAGCTGGTCGGCTTGTTGAAAAGAATACCTTTGGGTCCTGCGGAATTGGCGATGGTGAAGCATCGAGCAGAGCAATTAAAGGACGGAGTATTACGTTCCAGAGGTCATGCTCTCCTGCCGATCATGCTAGCCAGCTTCATATTCGATGCCCTCAATTCAATTAGTACGTATCATATTTATAATGGATTTGAAAGTAACGCATTCTATTAAAACGCGCGTACGTAGATCTCGCGGCTCGTCAGAGTTACACTCCTAAAGCAGCAAGATGTTAAACCGAATTATTTTCAGAATGCAAAGAGTTAATTCTAAATAATTTTAAACAAATGATAAAAAAGAAGTAAATGATTCGCAGGATCGAAACTGTCCACAGACGTCGACGAGAACCTGGGATTCGACGCAGCGGTTGCAACATTGGGATTGAAGGCTAATGTTAGTGAAGCGGATCATCCTCTTCTTTGCGAGGGAACTCGTCGACAAAGGTAGCTGCTTAATTTTAATCCTCCGTACTCACATTTAAGCACTTTTTACGAAAAGACTAGCAAATCGATTATATTTTTCCAGAGGAGATTTGGCGATAACTCTTTTAGTACACTATAAAGATGAGCCCATGAAGGTAGCGAGGATAATGGATAAACTCCTAGATCGGGATGTTCATCAACTGATAAAATCTCCGATTCTAAGTAGCTATTACAGCTCTAATCCTCCTACCAAGAGTCAGGTAAATTTTTCCATCCATTCTCAACTCACTCTTGTAGATCGCACATGGTTATTAAATTAATACAATGTCAATTTAATACAGTTGGCTGGCTTGCGACGCGAGGAAGCTTGTTCTTCACCTTTAACGGGCACAGAAGCAGGAAATGGTGACAATGTCGTTGGTGTAAGTAGCAGACCTCACAGTAGCACCAGTGCAGAGCTCGAGAATGGAATGAATACGCTTACCATTCAGCCCCAACCAGCACAACCACCAGTGCCCACGAGAACCAAGGAAACGAGGTAAATTTCGAAAGAAAATAGAAACGTCTCATGGTGCTTCACCTAGTTTAGATTTCTAAACATCTTTCCTTTTTAGGTACAAGAGCAAACGAATGTATCCATCGATTCCCAATCAGCCTTCCGAAGCAGGGGCTCACTTTATGTGCGAATTAGCTAAGACGGTGTTGATAAAAGCTGGGGGCAATAGCGCCACGTCCTTGTTCACTCAAGCATCGACTAGCCAAAACCACCTTGGTCCTCACAGGGCACTTCACATGTGCGCCTTTCAGCTGGGCCTTTATGCTTTGGGCTTGCATAACTGCGTTAGCGCGAACTGGCTGAGCAGAACGTATTCGAGCCACGTCTCTTGGATAACTGGTCAAGCCATGGAAATCGGTGCACCGGCTATTTGGTTTCTGATCGATAGTTGGGAGGGTCACTTAACTCCACCGGAAGCAGCGAGCATCGCCGATAAATCGTCCCGAGGGAGTGATCACAACATGGTCAGAGCGGCTGCCGAACTCGCCTTGTCCTGCTTGCCGCATGCTCAAGCTCTCAATCCGAACGAAATCCAGAGGGCGATCTCACAGGTAAGTCCTTGAGTTTTCGAGTGTAATTATAATTTGATTTATGAGAATTCAGTGTTTAAATCTATCGCTCGATTACAGTGCAAGGAGCAAAGCGAGCTCATGCTGGAAAAGGCTTGCATCACAGTGGAGACCACCGCAAAGGGAGGTGGCGTCTATCCGGAAGTGCTTTTCCAGGTAGCGAAGTATTGGTACGAGCTGTACTTAAGGGTAAGCCGTTATGTCATTTAAGGAATCAGTTGTCCCAGATGTACATTAATATAATTTTAGGAATTGATTCTATGACAATTCAACGTATTATCGTTATTTTTCAGCATACTCCTGGAGGAGAACAGCAGGATGAGATTCCACACGATCAACTTCAGCTGGATCCTAATGGATCACTTTTGGTAGAACCTGGTCCCCCGGTAGATATCACTCCCGGACGGATGATACCCGGGCCGGCTCAAACGGTCGTCGTGACCAGCACTCAACCTCCTCCTCAACCTTATCCAACTCATCCCGCGATAACTACTTTGGCACCTTTAGGTAAACGTTCAAAAAGACATTCAAGTGTAACATTTTTGAGATAAGATTTCTACTAAACTTGGAAAGTGTTCAGCAATTCAGCAGATTAACAGTTCCGTGTTTCACAGGTGTTGGGATGCCGTATGCAGTTGGTCCGTACAGTTTCGTACATCCTCATCATCCAATCCCAGCCTTCGGAGGTCCCATGCCGCCTCACAGAGTGTCATTACCTCCTCCTCCCCCGCACATGCAGATGTACCATGCAGCTTTTCCAGCACATCCTGGACATCCGCAGCATCTGCAACATCCTCACCATTCCCCTCCGGTAACGCAGCCTCCTCCGGTTCCGCAGTACTACCCACCTCAACCGACCGTCACCACTGTAAATGTTCATCCCCCTCCAGGCACTCACCACATGTTCACCATGCAACAACCGATACCCGTTAACGTGAGTGCTCTCCTAGATTCGATGCGGCATTTATTAATAAAATCATATACAATGTATTGTGATTTCTTGTGCAGGTGCAAGCAGGCGTTGCAGGACCAATTCCTGGTCAGAACGGCTTACCAGGTCCTGCGTTGGTTCAGGCACAGCCGATCATATCGACAGTCAGGGCTCAGCCTCAGGTATTTGTACGAAATAATTACTTTATTCTAAATTCAATTCTTTTGAAAACCACGGTTTAATAAAGAATTATACGCGTCAATGTCGAAGGCTCCAATTGCATGCTTCCGTTTTACAGGTGCACAGGCAAACCCAGTCGTTCAGTCCCCAACAACTTCGAGCTCTCGTAGCCGCTTACAGGGTCGGTATGTTAGCTTTGGAGACCTTGTCACGTAGGGTGCATGACGATAGACCCCAGGCTAAGTACGCGAGGAATCCGCCCTATGGAGAAGACATTAAATGGTTGTTGAGGGTCTCGAAACGCCTCGGTACACAATATCTTCACCAGCTATGCATCTGCGCCGTCAATAGTATCGTCAGTCCTTTCGTGCTGCACGATGTAGCGTTAGAAGCTGCGCACTACCTCGCCAGAAGCAATCCAGCTCTCGTTCTTCAGCATCTGAGATCAGCCCTGTTGGCTCCTCTCGTGCACAAGTGCCAGCAAATGTTAGTATATACTATCGGCTATACTTACCGACCTTACATGGGAATCCTATCTTAGAGCTATCAATTTTACGCGTCTTTCCAAGTTCCATCGACCATTTATGAAATATTTCCATTAATGTTTCCTATAGGTACATTCAGTGTATGCACCAGAAGTTGTATCATCTGATGGCCGACGATTATGAGGATTTTGCCAGCGTAGTATGTGCAGCGCGGGCGGCCTTCCACATCACCCCGGAAGGCCACACGCAGTTCAAGGAATGGCTGCAGTCTATTAAAAGGTACATAATTCTTCATCCTAATGACTAAACCGTTATTCACGTTCTTGCCAATTACGATACGCCTCGCAATACGGTCCCGCTTGGTTCGGAATTTAATTGAGTTCACGGTACAACCCACAAGGACCAGCTCTAACAGTTATTCATCCATATAGCACCTCTTCGAGCATTCCTGCAAGGCAGGATCCGGCGCAACTACGTAAGGATGGAATTTATCGATTGGCAAACTCTACTTGCAGATCGCAGTCCTGCAACAAGGATCTCTGGGCGAAAATCAACGCGGCGCTTCAGCAGAACGGCAAATGACACAGAGCGGAGCCAGGCGTGACGTGGCTCACTCCCCATCCCCATCTACCCCCGACGACCCTCGTTCTCCAGCATCAGCACTCCTGTCATCCGCATCCGCATCCACATCAGCATCCGCATCCGCAGAGCGTCGTGTGCGTTCACGAGCTGGCTACCCTTAATAAGCTCGCCTGGGACAAGATCTCCATTCCGTGCGTTGTCGAAGAGCCGCACCGTCCTCATTCGCGTCGAATGCTCACCGGGCCTCCGCCATCGCTGCGCCCGGAAGCCATTGACAACCCGAACTCTCGGGAACCCAATCCCAGGGACGAGCAGTTTAGTTGATCGTGCTAACGTCGTATCGTTGAATTCGTAGTTCTCTAGAGGTGGGCTTTTGACGAGCAGCGGAGAGAGACCGGTCCTCCATCCATTCGCTTGCTCCTGCACCCGGAATAGACCAGGTCGATACATCCGAGGAAGATGCGCCGAAAGTGGGTCTGTTGTAGCTCGACGATTTGTTCCTTTTTTAGGGATGCCGAAACCGGTAGCGACAGCGCCGAGGTGGATCACCTCCGTGGAGACGACCCGATCCCATCGGTAAGGTCTGGCTCCCGAATTAACATCGCGTCATTATACGAAATGGTGCCATTAGACATAGCTACTGATTAATGCGAGGGACCTAGGGACACGCGGGGATGATGGTATTGGCAAGGATACGAAAAGTGGGGGAATATCGATGGGGAGAACGTGACTTCGCTCGAAGGGTACTCGTTTTTCTGGGGTTTGTGTCGATATATTGCGCGACATGATGCGATCGGTAACTCCGGGAACCGCGGGAAAACTGGGGAATTGAGCCAAGAGTAAAATCTGTTATTAAGTTAAGTACTAGATGACGCAAGTAGATCGCTATTGCTGGAATTCCTGGAATAGTTTGTAGCTGCTAACAGTGTAAGAGGTTGCCGGAAAGTTTTGAGCGGTAATAAGAACTGTTGACTATTCCCATGATATTAAATGCAACTACCGGTATCCGTAAAATCAATTTGACTAGAGTGAATGAACGTACACGGAGATCTATTGTAATGGAATACCGAACTTGCCGAGACTTCAATGAGTACTTCGACATGGGTACATCGCAGAACAAATCATGATATATATATCAACTAATGGGATTACAGAAAGCAATAATACTCTATTGAAGAAATAATTACGCGCGTAATTGTACGTGACTACACGAAGTAATAAGTGTCATGTTGTCGATTTATTATGAAATTAATTTCTCTTTTCAATGACGATTAGTTTTTTATGATTCTTATGAAGGGGATGTGGGAGTTGGGTGTTCAACTTAGGTCGAACTTTTCGATCGGTGAAATGCATTTCGCAAAAGAGCAGTATCCTGGTCACGAGTTACACAACTTATGGCAATAATGGCACCGTTTTGACAGGTCGATCGTGGAGCTGGAAAGTGGTCAAAGGAACGAGCGTATTTTCTCTTGCGTGCGCAAAAGGAAAGATCCGTATAGTCGTGTTCGCCGTTCTCTTCAAAGCCCTCAAAATCGAGTTTAGCTTAACTACGTGTCTCTGAGGATAAAGAAAAACACTTTCAGGTATTTTAGTTTAAGGGAAAGCAGATGTAAGGAACTCATATACAGCGCTGAGTTAGTTTTCGATGTCCACGTATGCGCAATTTCAGTCGGGATTTTCATCGAGAAAAGTAAGGAACGAAGTCGCCGGGCAATAGGCAAGAGGCGTGTTATCACGATAAGAGGAATTTCTCCCAGGGTCGCATAAACCGGGAGAAAATTTACCCGAATCTTATAGGCCTCGGAGAAATTTCTTCGGCCTTCGGTAGCTTCATTCATCGTAATGTCCGGAAAATTGATCACCGCAGAGAACAGAAAATCAATGCCCGGCTTTCGTCGATTCATAATGCGGAGGAGGTCGTCGGATACCGGAAACGCGAGAGAACCATTTACTTTAGTTGGAACGTCTCCTTGTAGCCTGCAATTAGATAGGAAATTTTATTTCGATTCTAGATAGGACGAATTCTTGTGTCTTGTTTTATTTTTGTAAACAAGTAACAAATTTTAATATTAATGACGTCTATTTATATAACGATTACGGTCAGANGACGGACTCTCCGGAGGATGAGAAATTGAACGTAGAAAGTTACTTTGCTTTCCAACACGTACATATGCATATATATATATATATATATATATATACATATATATTATAAAATTACGCTGTATATTTAACAACTGTAACGAATCTCACAATAGTTATATTTTTGAAAGAATGTGATGATTTTTGCAGGTATTGTTCAATGGCAAAGCGTTACGAAATCGGGCACGTGTAAACTAATGACGTTTCTTTGCATCTGCTGCACAATGTAGGGAATTATTGCACGCCGTTTGCATAACAAGATGGCATAAATTTTCGCAAAAGAGAGCAGCGGACGGGCGCGGGGGAGGGTTTAGAGCGGAGATTTATTTTTTAAGATAATCGCACGATCCGCGACGACTCGCGACAGTCGCTTCAACGATGTAATATCTAATGTCGTTATTGTTTCTAGTATGAACACTGAACAGTGCCTCGTCAAAATCCATGTGAACACACTTACAAGGCCGAGAATGACATTTCCCAATGGCATTGTCTCCGCCGTCTGTCTTCGTATCCGTATTTCGCCGGTGTTAGCGCGTATATTCGCCGTTAAAGGATTAGGTATAATAAATAGCGTTTCGTCGGCGGCGGCGTTCGCGAATAATATAAATGTCATATAACGCCGTAGGTGTAGATCAATAGAGATCGCCGATTGCGCGATCGTCCTGATCTCTCTTCGCAGGTTCCGCCATTTGCGAACCTCGTCTTTATATGGCACGAAAGGAGGCATTGAAGGATAATTAGTGACGGAAGTAATTGCTAGACGTTAAAGGGAAAACGGAACTTTCAAGTCTTCGCCGTATGTAGGACGAAATATGTCGGACACTTCTTACGCAACTAGGGGAAGCAATTTATAGGATAATAGCCCAGGCGACGCGAGTTCTTGAAGAATTCTTGAAGACCGTAAACTTGCAACTATTTCGAAAATTGGTCTGAATTTTCTCGAAGAAAGGTATGGAATATTTTGCGAAAGTTTTTAGGGTGCTTTTTGACCCTGCTTTATCTGAGGATTGAGGTGTACACGATGTCACATAAGTGACTTGGATCTGGACTTGCGTTCTTTGCGAAAAAGGTCCGATCCAATCGATAGAAAGGTGTTGGACTCGGTTCTACTTATCATCGCTTAGGTACAATGATAGGTATCGTTAAAATTATCTTAAGGGTCGTTGTCACCATTTCTAGGTAAATTTATCCGGCCATTTATGTGGCATAGAGATTTGTCAAGATCCGTAACTAGGCAATGTTGTGTAGTACGGGTCGAGCAGTATCAAAATGCGGTTCAACCTAGAAATATTGACATTTCTTCATTATATGAGCCGTATAATTAGGGATTAAACAACTAGAGCGTTTCTTTACCTCTTACATTAATAGGCGAATATGACATACAACTCGGTTGCACCATTGATTGCTTTAATGGAATATTTTTCATCGGTCTCATACGGTGTTATTTCGTGACGGACTATTTAACATATTCCGTCATGTCGCATATGACGTAAAAGAATAACATTAACACTGCCGATATCTCAAGTCATTTTATTTCCGAATCATCTCATTTTAATATTCTGTTGAATTTAGGAAAATGGTAACCTGGAAAATAATCGGAGTGACTTCTTGCAACAAGCCATGATTACATTTAATTATTAGTATTGAAGCTCTTATGACTCTATAATGGAAGATTTTTTCTACGGATTATGAATTTATGGTATTCCAAAATAGATGATGTTATTATAGGAAATTTCCAATCAATGGAACAAGAGAAATTAATCAGGTGCCGTGATCATCTCTATTCTGTTGTCGTGGTTATTGTCCTGTTCATTGCTCACGACGTTATGCCAGGAATTAAAATTATGCGTAAAATTGGTGCACCCGAGTTAAAGAAATAAACCAATAAAATAAATGAAGAGATCTTTGCGAGTGTTTGAGCGAACCCTCGAAGCAGAGATCGTAGGCAACTTGTCGATCGCGTATTCGATGATTAATTAGACAAGAATATGGACAAGTTCGAGAATCGAATCATATTCCAGAATAGATTCCCATAAAAGGATTTCCCTCGTTCCAGGGGAAATGAACGAGATGAACACGAATCACAACCGAGGGAAAGAAATCGGGAATTCTCGAGGCTCGAACAACATTAAAGTAACGTTAAACGTTAACAACTGTCCGTAGTTGTAGTTCGCTCGATTAGCCTAATTAGACTAATTACCACGGATGTGAATATATATATATATATATATATTTAGCAAGGGTGTCCCAGAGGAGGACACGAGTGCAACATCGTTTTTCGAAAGACGCGGCGTTAGATCGCTAGATCCTTAATCCATAATTTCCAAAAATCAAATTCGAGTGCAAAAGTATCCGGAGAATGCTCGCGTTTCTACTGAGAGGAAAGAAAGAGTAAACGGTATAAACTCGAGAAGGATCACTTTTTTCCATGAACCCTGCTCCTTCGTCCTTCGCCTTCCTTGTTCCACTATGTGTTGTTAGTCGGTTAAAGAATAATATGAAGAGAAAAATAAATGCGAAAGAGAAAGCTAGAGAAAGAGAGCACGAAAGCGACGGAGAGAGAGAGGTAAAAAAGCTATGAAATCTATTTTTACACTTGGTCAAAAAGTACTGACGAAGAAAAAAGACGTTCTGCGCAAAAAAAAAAGACAGGAGCAAAGCGATAGCTCAAAAAAGTTAGACGAGTTCTTCTAGGCTTATTGTATACTAAACTCGTAGCGACTTATAACTACCGTAGAAACGCGAGGACCTGAAATTGTATGAAGTTTTACGTGTTCCGTTCTTCGGGCCGACCGCCATTATCCATTATCTGTTACAGCTCGTCGATGATTTCCCAACTTTTCGTTTCCACTTGATAAATTGTATCTGTTTCGTTTTTCGTCCGATCGCCAAATGGCGAGCCGGAGGTCAGAGAGGCTCGATTAAATTTGTCTTACGGAGCCGAATTAAATAAATAGCGAAAAATAGTGGGATACTCTTATTACTGCCATTACAGAACTTCGTTGATTGACTCCTTATTGAATCAAATGTGGCATCCCGCTTAAAAAAATTCAATTAAAAAAGTATTTCCTGGTTCCTTAAGACTATTCGTAATCATTTCGTTATATCTGATAACCGCAATCAACACGTTCGTTACATTGGTAACTTTGGAGATGCCCTCGAAATTGTCGAAATTAATTTCCGGCCGCGTAATGAACGTGTTAAGGATCTCATAAAGGCGTCGCAAGTGCGCACGTAAATCCCAGCCCTTGTATCATTCTCATCGCGAGGCGAGAAAGAGGGGCATATAAAACTTCGATAAAGAGACACAACGCTCAAAGGACATTCGGTAGATTCGTGCATTTATTTTGGGAAACGAGGATCGGACTTTCGATGGATTCGAGCGGGACGAATGATAAAGGATTGTTGTCGCGCTCCACTGCGCGAATCCTTTATTCTTCACTTATTGTTCACTTTCGTGAACATTTAACATTTTCCCGAGATTAATGGTATTATTCTGTGTACATCCGTTAAATCTATACGCTCTGTAATTCATTGTTTTCGGTAATCAACTAAACAAGAATGGGAGCATATTTTACACCGTTTATTAATATGTACTGCCGAGATAGGTACACGAAATTATAACAATGCGGTATGAAACGTCTTAGTTGACATTGTTTCCAGTAAATTGGCTGTTGAAAAAACTGATAGTTAACATGGCAATTGATTGTGCTCAAAATCGTTTACTGGTTTACAGAGTCCACAGGAATCCTCGATTTATGCAGAATAACGCCGTAAACCGTCCCGTGGCGAATTCGTTGACGGCGTACAGTGCGAAATGGATTTTTAATATCGATTTAAGTAAATAAGTAAGCGTAATATTAAATTTCAAGG